TACCATTACTATTACTATTATTATTACAAATTACTATTATTATTATTACTATTATTAGTATCATTATTATTATTACAAATAATACTATTTCAATCTAATTTCTAGGTTTCTTTTTTCTTTCTGTTTTCTCAAAGCAACAATAAAAATCTCCATTTTATAGTAAATTAAAATGAATTGAGTTTCTTTGTGTGTGTGTGTGTGTGTGTGTGTTAAGTTCAACAAATTTCTTAATAAAATGAAATTCGTAATCTTTTTTTTCATGATTTATGTTGTATCTTTTACAATTTGTACTGTTTAAATGAATTAAGAACAATGCTCATCCACGATCTTATCTTACATGATTCGAACGTAGGACCTATCGGTCTCGTGCACGAACGCTTAACCTCTAGATCACTGAGCTGGCGTCGAACAGTGTTAATGTCTAACTTCAACTAATCTATGAAACGGTTGTTTAGTGCTTTCAGGTTTTTCATGGTGGTTTAGCTTCAATCAACTAATGATTGTTATTGAAATGTATATGTCGTCTATTCTCGTATATAATCAGCGACTTAAATCGCGTTACTAAATAACGGAATCAAATGAGTCAAATACGAGAATGGTTTTTTGGAATATTTATATTTCATACAATCGTTGATTCAGACAAAATATCGTAGAAGCAAAGAGAAGACTGAACTACCTTTTCCTGCTATCTGGATATTTCAACAAGCTATCTGTTTTTCTGTTTGTTTTAACATATGATTATGTCTATTAGTCTTATGAAACGTTTATTACATTTCCCTGTACAAATTACAAAAGAGCCCAATCAGAGATATCGTGGTTGCTAGCAATATGCATTAAAAAGAATAAACATGATTCAGATGTCGATTCTTGAACTGCTAACTTCTAACTGTCGATCACACCATATTTATTATCAGGATCGATCAAGAAATAGGGAAAGGAAAATTGTTAAAATACTTGTGCTGAGAACTCTAGATTGTACCAAAAATAGAATATTAAATAAAGCCATTAATAATAATAATAATATTAGTGATAATAATAAAGGATGAATAGCAACTGAAAAGAACTGGAAAGCATTTCCCAGAACAGAGTTGGATGGAAAATGCTTGCGGGACGTCTATGCTCATCCACTAAGGGTAACAGGCCTAAGTAAGTAAGTAAGTTCCAATCATCATCAACCTATGAATCAGTAAAAATTGAAAAATAATAAATATATTTCTCTAGCTTTTCAGTAATCCATATCGATTAGGTTAAACAGAGGTCAAATACAAATCGATTGATCATAGGGTAATGACTAATATCATGCTTATTTAGCCCTTCTTTTCATAAGTAAATTAATCCATGCAAATATTAAGTCTGTTACTTGGTTATAGCCAATATGGCTTACAAATTCAACACTTGAATGCGTAGAATCCCCAAGTCGCAAATCGAAAAGATAGAAGTAAATAGGAAAAGCATTACTAAAGTAAGTTCCTAAAATGTACAGAAATATGAGTCAATTTAAGGTTGTTGGTAAAGGCTATAACATCATTATAATTCAGCCAATCCGTACGTAGAAAATTTATACATTTATTAAATCACAGCATGTCACGTTAATACTCCAGAAAATTTTATCGGATTGTGGTCGGATTTAATCTCTTCCACTGCTTTAAATCCTTTGGAGGCTTCATCACACCTTCTGGGAGCCATCGTAACAGCGAAATCAATAGATCTGACAACATACAATGCTTTAGCTATAATACTAAACCCCGTGAAAGCTAGAGCAAAGTCAGATGATATTCAGGAGATCTAAATTTGTAATGGAATAACAACAAATTAGCAAATTAAAGTTAGAAACAACCGATCAATTAATAGCAAAAAGCACTATAAAAAACATATATAGATTGAAGCAAATGTCATGACCATTATTCGTGCATGTAAGGACAATTATTAACTAACAAAAAAACGATATAACCTGAAGTTATCCTATTATTCTGAAAGTTTAAACCGTGAGAATAAAACTCAATTGAGGGGAGGAATTAAAGTGGTAACATATTTGTGACACTGCTTGAAATACCCGGTTTCCTTTTTATATGAGTTTGATATTGTACAATCTTGATAATAAGCAACCTAAGTTGTGATATTTGCATTTAACATACCCTAATTTCCAATGGTTGTTTAGCAACCATTGTTGCAACTGAATCAATCTAAATCTAATTATAATCAGAGAAGGGTGTTTTTGTGTATATTATAGTAATTTGATAGTTGAATTCATAAATCAATTGAAGCTAGACCACCATGGAAAACGTGGAAGCACTGGATGGCCGTTTCGTCCTAGTATAGGACTCTTCAGCAGTGCGTGTCCACGATCCCGCACCCCGCGAGAGTCGAACCCAGGACCTATCAGTCTCACACGCGAGCGCTTAACCACTAGACCACTGATTCGGCATACACCGGTGTTAATGTCTAACTTCAAGCAATCCATGGAGTTACCTCACCGTCCACCACTGTTATCAGTGAGTTCCTATCTCACCACAGACCTGGATGAACTCCACTGGTTGCGGTTGAATGTCTTGACTTTTTCTATTCTTGATCTGCTATTTTTAATTGCTGCCTTCTTATTCTTCCTTTCTTGAATCTCGTCCGGAGTTTTCAAACAGATTCATTCCTTATGATGATACCTGTTGCTGCCCAGAACCTCCTAGCACGTTGAAGTTAGTGCTTCTTTGATCCTTTTCCAATTTTCATTTATAGTGGTTTCCTTTTCTTCAAGTAAATCTTAAAGAGCTTAGAACCTGTTGTTGTGAGTCATCTTGAATTCGTTGACTTTTTGAGTATCTCTAAAGAAGTCTGTAATGAACCCTTGTATTGCTGTTTTCCTAGTTGTCTGATGCTTTTATAGCTTCAGTTTCATCTTGTCAACCACAACCAGATGATAATCTGAAGTCATATCAGTTCCCCTTCTGATCCTTATATCTTCCATTGTCCTTCGGAATTTTTAATAATATAAACATAGTCAATCTGGTTCTCTGTAGCTTGAAACGAAATATATTGTTCTTGAATCTTTGTATCTAAGCTAATACTAATAAATTGTTTACAAGTATCCAATAGGACAAAACTTAATTTTTCCTTAAATTCCATTACTAATCATTATTCTACTTCAGTAAAGAAAAATTTTCTTATAAACTTTACATTGAAATATTATTGCATTAATTATTAAATATAATAGTTACTATACAGTCTCCTAATATTGATTAAAATATCGATTTTCTATTGTTTTATTATTATTATTATCTAAATGATAATAATCCATTTTATTCCTCCTTAAAATAAAATAATAACACTATTCATAAGGTAAAACTATTGATAGTTGTCAATTATAAAATACCCCTACATATATATTTTACATTTGTTCTAATGTACTTAATATGGTTATTACCAAATCATTTTGTCTAGAGACTAAATAAGGCGTTCAGGTCTTCAGATATATATATATATATATCTGGTTGTTATCATAAATTATATCCAAAGATTATCGATTTTTTTCTTCATGAATCAATTAAATAGATTATGTTTGTAAAACGGAAATTCTCAAATAGATCAGTTGAAATATATGGTTGATTTTTATCAATCCTGTGACCAAAAATATTCTCAAGTTATGTATACTTAGTTTCGAGTATACAAATTGGTTTTAATTCATAATCTATTGTAATGTATGTTCTGAATCTGCTTCGATCTGGGCACCCGGGCAGTATCACAGACTTTACACAAATTGAATGATTTATATGGCGCATATGTATTTAGTGCCTTCTTGTTCCAATGTTTGTTTTTATGTATGTTGTGAATTGGATACAACCGATATCTGCATGAAAATATAACTTTCTATAAGATTGTTAGTAAATTATAAATTTAATATTGTTTAAAATGATAATTTATCATCTAAATGATAAGTAAACAATGGTGAATATAAGCAACGATGAATAATGGCTACCAGTGGAATCATGTTTGACGCGCGTTTCGTTCTATTTGGGACTCGTCAGCCGGATGTACCGGTATCGCCGAGTTGATGTTCATTCTGATACTCCAACCCAGTACTGTTCGGTTTAAATGCCATGGCGTTATCCACTTAGCTACTGAGTCCTGCTTGTGAAATGAGGTGAAGTTAAAAAATTCACTTAGTATTGTTTGTTTGAATCTTCTCATTGATGTTTAACACTACAATTAATCAGTCTCTTATTGCCATACCCACCTCTGCTTATAATGAATTAAAGCAATATTGAGGCAACAGGCACAGGATGCACACATGCCAATAAGTGAGTGATCAATTGCAGTGCTAAACATCAATGGGAAGATTCAAGTAAACAAAACCAACTGAACTTAATAGTTAATCTAACTAGTTATTAAAATTTGATTAGGTAAATTTATTACCGTAGAAGGTGAAAATAGGTCGACGAGATAGGAAATCTTCATGTACTGAGATGATTAGGATGACTATTATGTTTTTTGATGGAGACTTAAGCTAGAAAAATAAAAGTTAGAAGTGGTCAAACCAAGAAGTTACATCAGTCCATGAATTGTGTTTTGTTGTTAGGTGCAAATCAATTGGTTGAGATCTATTCGCTTGTCTTGACCATTGAATGGGATGATTCAAATTCATCTATTTATATTCTTTTTCAACTATCACTCATACCTTCAACATGTCTACTACTATGGAATTTGTTTTGATAATTTCTTTCCTCTGTTATAAAACAATGTAGTAATATGAACCTTTCTTTCTTCTTTAATCCTGTTACCCCTTGCACCCCTTGCATTTCAAAGGTAGTCTTCTTCCCACAGATAAGCTAGACAATTCCTTGGGTTCCGATTTCTGATGAAATTGTTATTTTTTACTCATTAATCCGACAATTCATAGTAGGACGAAACAATCTTATAAATTTTTCTTATTCTTTTTGTGTAAATTTTTGTAACGCTTATTATTTGTTTCTAAGTTGTTTGCTCTTCCTTTTTTCTAATTCATTTGACAGATTGGACTGATCAGCATTACTTTAATACAAATCAGTTCAATGGTTCAACATTATTCGATGCAACATCTCCCAATTTTCAATCCTATAATAAACCTACAACCGATATAATGTTAACAGAGACGTCAACAACATTACCAACAATAAATGAACCAACTTGTTATCCAGTTTATGTTCATCCATTACAGTCTACCCTGAATAAATATAGATCTTCATCTAGTGAAAATCTATCATCACGACATCATAATTCAAGAATTAAATCAATTGCATTCATTACTCATTTAAGTGCATTTGGTTTAAAGAATAAACGACGTTTTTCACAATTAACAACAAAGAAATTAAGTAAACTAAAAGAAAATACTACTAGTCCTAATGATAATTATAATAATAAATCTGGTCAATTAAATCCTTTACCAATTACAGAAGCTTATGAATCAGGAAGTTATCATAATCAAAACATGATATCTGATAATTTTGTAAGTAGTATATTTTCTGTTATACTGTCAATGATTGTTTTAAACCAAGTTATCAATACATAATGTAAACTATAAACATTCTAAAAAATGTTTACAAAGCCCTCTATAGTATTAATAATCCATACATTTATGAGTGACTAACTTCTCAAGGTAACTCCTGGAGCTCTCTTGTAAAAATGCTTAATTAGTGAAATTCAAACATTTTAGGCATGAGGCAGAATATTGGAAACTGATTGAAGTTAGACATACAGAACATTAAATACCAACCGATTGCTATAATAGGTTAATGGATTGCCTTAAGACTTCAATATCGTATGCCTGACCCACTTTGGTGTCTTGATTGCGCACTATTTACTTCCTATACGGAGGCAAAACAACTGTTCATTAATTCTTAGCTGCCGGTGATTACCATAGATTAGTCCAGTACGTATGCTATCGAAGTTAAGATAATTAGATAGATTTTGATTTCCTTATTTTCCTGTTCATTTACTTAAATCGTTTACATCAACCTATATATTTCTTAATAAAGTTCAAGATTACCTTTACGTATAGACACTAAATATATGTGATCATGCTTCGCTAAATATTAAGTTTATTAGTACACGTGTTAAAGTAGTCAGTAGCAATAGACGATGATCATTAGCCACTTAATAAACTTCGGTTTTCCTAAAACTCCTTAATTAATCATTCAATAAACAGCATAGCCATTTTGTTGTCATTTAATTATATATATATATATATATATATATAATACGAAAACCATACATTAAATACATTATTCGCATATCTTCACCCAGTTGTCCTTTGCATAGTTCAAGATTCTTCTAATTCTGTTGTCACTTCGATTCCTCTCTGTTCTCCTTCCTTTTTCTCTTCAATTCAATCTCCTTTTAGCAGACATTCCACTTCCGATTGCTGCTGCATACTACTTATACCTGTCAGCAAGAGTAGCATGCACCACGAAAGTACTTTATAGGTATAAGCTGATCAGAATCAATAAAAATAATGTCGATTTTAAAAAAATTTGAAACCGAATGCACATATATGCCCATAAGAGACTGATCAATTGCAGTCTTAAATAACAATGGGAAGATACAAGTAAAAAACATCAAGTGAATTGAACTGTTTAGTGTTTCCTCGTGTTTGGACGCCTAATACACCCATCCATAACGAGAATTATTTTCACATTATGCATAGATTATATAGTATTTCCGTACAAGTAACTTAAACCATAACATCACTTGGTATTGTTTGGCTTGTATCTTCCCACTGAGGTTTAAGACTGCAATTGATCAGTTTGTTATTGGCATATGTGCATGCTGCGCGTATGCCTCGATATTGCCTTAATTCACAAGCTTGACTCGTCATGATGTACCTGCATCTCAAGTTGATGTTCACTCTGGGACTCGAACCCAGTACCATTCGCTTCAAACGCACTCACTACTGAGTCCTGATAGCACTTAGGTTTCGACAACCAGATTAAATGTCCCATGATTTCACAGCCTAGTTCCGTTTAAACAGCCTACTAGTACAACCAGAGAATATGAATAAAACACTTGACTTAACCCCAAATATGTATACTTGTAATTAATAGATGAGATACCCTATTGACACTGTTGAAACAGTTAGGATTAAACACTAACTTCCACTAATATTGCTCTTTTCTTCAATTTCCTAAATTCCATGCAGATTAACATATCCTTTTTCTTTTTAAGAAAAAAACAGATCTATTTTAACTACACAATGCAACAATAAAAATGTTTAAGTTTTCTTATTTAAATACAACAAATTACAAACAACCATGGAGTAATCAAGAAGTAATAATTATTAAAACTGATTGATCATTAAGTACTAAATAATTTCATGTTTATCTAATTTTTTTCATGTTAACCTGTTCATTTCAAGCTGAGTAACTCAGTGATGATGGATCAAACGATAAATCTATGTGACTTGGATTCGAATCTATCAAAAGGCTAGAAGTTCTCTCAAGATTTCAGATGTACTCTGTTGTGACGAGTTGCGAATATCACTAAAATCTTGATTGATGGTTTACTAGTGACTACCTCCAACCACCTACTGTAATAATAATTAGTTTGGCTGAAAATTTACACTCAAATTCCTTTCGAAAGAATAATCTTGCTAATTTTCTTTTGTCATTAAGTTTACGTGTTGATTATTTTACTAAAACTAAAAGCTTTTACATCAAATGTTACTAATTATGAGAGAAATAGAATTTCTCTAGACCAATGCTCACAATTCAATAAATACAACAAACCCATAGTGTTGGAGGATTTGTAAAGATTGTAGAAATTCCTTGGTTTAAATCACTAACTAATCTTAGTTAGACCACCATTGAAATCCTGGAAGCTCTGTATTTCTGTTTCGTCTCAGTGAGGGACTCCTTAGCAATGCATATCCACGAACCTTCACCTGGGAGTCAAATCTATGACCTGTGATCTCCCACCTAATTGCTTACTCATTAGACCACTGAGTCGCTGTATAATGGTGTGCGAGTTTGACCATGACCAATTCACACTGCTGCGTAAACCTTACTCATTTTCAGAGGTGGATAACTGTCACATACTCACTGGACGCCGGTTCAGTGGCCTAAAGGTTCAGGGCTAAAGTCCGAGGCCGAAAGTTCCAAGTTCAATTTCCGGGTGCCGAGTCGTAGATATGCACTGCTAAGGAGTTCTATACTGTGATGACAAGGCTTTTCAGTGATTCTGGATTCCCAGTAATGGTCTAACTACGACTTGTTAATGACGTAAATTTTAGAAAATACAATTCTTTTGACATAAAATCTCATTTTTCGAATAATCGTCGGTAAAAAACAAACAGTATTATCTATCAGCAAACTGATTCACATGATTTCTTCTAGTTTTCTGAAGTCGTTAACATCTACCATGCCTACTTAGCTGAATTTTATTTCAATATTCTCACCCACTTGTACATGTATACCAACAATTCTCTTAGTTCTAGAAATTCTACTGATTTCAAAATGACCTAAGTTCATGATGACAAAGCTTCAAATCAAAAATTATACTCTTGAACTGTTTCTTCTAGAACAGTCCAACTTATAGGATTTTAGCTACAATAAGATGTCAACTCATGGTATAACTCAAACCATTAATCTTGAAATTAGATGGTTGAAGGTAATAAACAAGTGACTTTAAATCATGGTTTCATGCTAGTTGACATACGTCCACAAGGCGTAACTTCAATCTTGAGAGGGGCGATAACCTCTATAGTATTCCTACAAGGTATCCCAGAGGCATTGTCACTGGGATATGTGATTAATCTCTTGTAGAAATGAAATACATAACTTAACTAATCACTGAGTATATAATTCGATTATCCCGTCGTTGATATTTTTGACTGAAATTTGGTCAGACTCGGTTGGCATATGAGGATCCTCTGCAGATTTTCTCGATATAGCCATTAGATTAAATGGAATATAGAAATGAGGACGTGCATTGCGCCCTATTCGTGATTCATCATCTGAATGTACCTGAATCTCAGATTCAACATTTACCGTTTGCTTCAAAATCCATCGCGTTACCTTCTTAGTTGCTGATCATATTCTATCGATCAAGTTTTATTGTGACCACTGGTCTGAGTGACTTGACACTATTTATCTTAAAGCTGAACACATATTTTTTTTTAAAACTGTAACTTAACCAAATCTTAATGTAGAAATAATTATCAACAACATCATAAGATTTTAACATTCTTCTTCTTAAACAATAGTTACAATAATAATGATATTAGCTTAATACATAAATCATTATAAAATTCTTTAAATTCCACTTTTTATCAATATATAACCTTTCGGTGTAAATATCTTAGTCATACAGTAGGTCATACACGGTTTAAATAACTTAGTGGTAATTTGTTGGACTATGAGTCTTGATAATGCGAGTTCAAATCTGCCAATAAGCATCATTTTGCTCATTAATACAGGTACAACTAACTGACGTCTAACGAATATCATGACACTCAAGTCAAGTGAGATTTCTGTTTAAATGAATTCCAACCGCATAACATATTAACATAGTCTACTTAAATTAGTGATCAGAATATAACTTGATTGATCGATCTCGGCTAACACCAAAGAAAAAGTTAAACACGACACTATTCACTAGTCAGTGATCAATCAATTGTAAAGATATTGCTACAAACGACAGTATTTTTAAGTAAATAAGTAATTATCTCTATTCATCACATTATATTGATAAATAAACGTATAAACATCATTATGAATAGAAAATTATAACATTTTTCTGTTTATCCATTCTGAATTCACTGAAAACCGACGCATATAGACGTTTGATTTTGGTTGATTTTGATCAACTACAGGTAAAAGATTTACAGAAATGTTGAATCATACATGCCTTTGTATACGATATCATATGGTATTAATATTAGGCAACCAAAATATGGTTATTTTTAGTAGATAGTCAAAATCAACAAAAATAAAACGTCCATATGCATCCGTTTTCAGTGAATTCACAATTTTCAGTAGTTGAAATCGTGAGTTAATTGAAGCTAGACCACCATGGAAAACCTGGAAGCATTGAACGGCCGTTTCGTCCCAGTACGAAACTCCTCAGCAGTGCGCATCCACGACCCCGCCCCCCCTCGAGATTCCGACCCAGTACCTATCAGTCTTGCGCACGAATGCGAAGTTGGACATTAACACCATTGGATGCCGGCTCAGTGGTCTAATGGTTGAGCACTCGTGGGCGAGACTGATAGGTCCTGGGTCGGAATCTCGAGGGGGGCGAGGTCGTGGATGCGCACTGCTGAGAAGTTTCATACTGGGACGAAACTGCCATCCAGTGCTTCAAGGTTTTCCATGGTGGTCTAGCTTCAATTAACTCATGATTTCAACTGTTGAAATTCCTAAAATCTCCACAAGACTCCTGAATTCAGAATTGTTAAACAGAAAAACGTTAAAGTCTTCGGTGGTACTATAATTTATGGATGAACCAATTAGA